AGGATCGATAGCCGTACTATTAAGAGGGGTGAAACTCGTATCGAAATGCGGTTATCAAAATGCCACTAGATGCTCTAACTCATTGCATATGCATTTAGGATCTAGTGGAGTGCTAACACCCTTGAAAATGTTTGTGAAAATATGCTAACACATGTGCATATGGTGATACACTTGGTGGTTGGCACATTTGAGCAAGGGTTAGAAACTTTACCGGCGGAGTGTCCGCCCGTAGAGTACGGATAGTTCGACGGTGCCACCGGTGCTCTATACAGAAAAGACAGAGGTCACTGTAAGTGACCGGATTCTGGTCTCAGTAGGACCAGCACGTCCGGTAAGTGGAAGCGTGAAGACGCTGGCGTCGGTCTTCGACCAGACGCTGGGTCACTTAGTGACCAGACGTTGACGGGGTGCGTCCGGTCCTGCTGATGTGGTAGAGCACAGAGGAGACGTCGAGTGACCGGACGCTGGGTGGGTCTGGTCGAGCATGACCGGACGCGTTCGGTCGTGGATTTTCGTGAATGGATGCTTACTGGAAACGACTGGACGCTAAGGTTCTACGTCTGGTCATTTCAAAGCAGCGCGTTCGGTCACAACTTAAATGTACGGACGACCGTTGAGATCGGGCAATTAGCATTTGAAGCAAGGGACACATGGCACACATCGCGCGACCGAACGCTGGGGTCTAGCGTCCGGTCGATCTGACCTGCGTGTTCGGTCGTCCCGTTTTTCAGTGGACTGAGGAGCCAACGGCTCTATTTTGTGGGGGCTTCTATTTAAGCCCCATGGCCAGCTCAAGCTCACTCTCTTGGCCGTTTGCATTGACATAGCAAGCTTGTGAGCTTAGCCAAAGCCCTTCCACTCATCTCTATCCACCCGTAGAGTGTGGACAGTCCGACGGTGCCACCGGCGCTCTATACAGAAAAGATGGAGGTCACCGTAAGTGACCGGATGCTGGTCTCAGTAGGATCGGCGCGTCCGGTAAGTGAAAGCGTGAAGACACTGGCGTCGGTCTTCAACCGGACATTGGGTCACTTAGTGACTAGACGCTGACGGGGTGCGTCCCGTCCTGCTGACGTGGTAGCGCACAGAGGACACGTCGAGTGACCGGACGCTGGGTGAGTCCGGTCGAGCATGACCGGACGTGTCTGATCGTGGATTTTCGCGAATGGATGCTTACTGGAAACGACCGGACGCTGGGGTTCTACGTCCGGTCACTTCGAAGCAGCGCGTCCAGTCACAGCTTAAATCTACTGACAACCGTTGAGATCAGGCGATCAACGTTTGAAGCAAGGGACACATGGCACACATCGCACGACCGGACGCTGGGTTCTAGCGTCAGGTCGATCTGACCTGCGCGTCCGGTCGTCCCGTTTTTTAGTGGACTGTGGAACCAACGACTCTATTTCGTGGGGGCTTCTATTTAAGCCCCATGGCCGGCTCAAGCTCACTCTCTTGGCCATTTGTATTGACATAGCAACCTTGTGAGCTTAGCCAAAGCCCTTCCACTCATCTCCATCTGCCCGTAGAGTGCGGACAGTCCGACGGTGCCACTGGCGCTCTATATAGAAAAGGCGGAGGTCACTATATGTGACCGGATGCTGGTCTTAGTAGAACTGGCGCGTCCGGTAAGTGAAAGCGTGAAGACGCTGGCGTCGGTCTTCGACCGGACGTTGGGTCACTTAGGGCATGTTTGCGACCCTGGCCCGGAGGCCCGGCTGCGCCCGTGGGCTGCAAGTTGCCATGTTTGTGGTCGATGGCCCGCAAGCGAGCCTGGCTTCGTAGAGCAACACTCGACCTCTCCGCCTGGCTCTCTGGAAACGACCAAAACCCTCGTTTCTTCGGAGCCGAGCTCGTCTGCGACGCACGCGGGCGATTTTGGGCGGCGGTGGGGTGGCTCGCGCGGGCTCTGGCGGAAAGGGGAAACGTCTTCGCGCACGTCCCCGCTCTCCGCTCCCGCTCTGGCCGCCGCGCATGAAGCGAAATGGCGGCGATTTTGCCGACCTTTATATACGGGTTCCCACTCTCCACTCTCTCCTTCTTCCACTCGGTGCTTGCTCTTCCACCTCCCTCGTGAGAGACCGGCAGTGAGTTGTGGTGCGTGGCGACGGCGGCGACCTCCGGTTGGTTGTGGGTTAGGTCACCGGCGCCGAGTTTCTTCGCCGCGTCCTCGCTTCGGCTGCTGCTGGGACTCCATGGCAGCGGTGTTCCTCTTCTTCTCCGTCCGCATCTGCTTCATCTTTTTCCCGATCTGCATCCTCTACTTCTAGATCTGCCTCCTCTCCGTTGTTTGGACCCCAAGCCAAGGTGAAATCGACCCCTAATCTTCTTTTTTGTGGTGCTTCTTGAACCTATTAGGGTTTCTTGTTCGTTGCTGTTCATGATCTGTTAGGGTTTCATACTTGTTATAACTACTTCATGCTCCTATTAGGGTTACTTGTACCTTACTGTTCTTGATCTGTTGGGCTCGTGATCTATTAGGGTTGTTGATCTGTTTTAGATTTGTATTGTACCTTGCTGTTCATAACTGTTTGATGCAGTTGTTAGTGTTACTTATACCTTGCTGTTCTTGATCTGTTAGGGATGTTGATCTGTTTCTGATTACTATTGCTCTGAGTTTTTTGTTTCATCATTGGTCGATGATGTTGTCCACATAGTACTGGGAGGCATCACATACAAGATGCAGCCGTGCTTTTGTTGGCATGCATTCATTTCACATTCATGTTGATGCCTAGCAGGGTACATTAAGCTGAAATCATGTTACATTTTTACATGCTTGTAGATGGATCTGCTTTTGAGCCGTGACATCTTTGTGTAGGAAGGCAAATTTGCTTTGATCTGTTGTTATGGTTACCTTTGTATCCACTAGGCTGAAAAGGAAAACCCTGAACCTAAAACCCCACCGCCTCGATCCTATAGCACCGGCCCCTTAGGGATGAAAATGAAAAGCACAGCATGAGAGAACACCGAGAATGATATACAATTCCACTGATTCAGAGTGTATTTCTATGATTAGGATGAAGAGAGTTGCTTTTTTTAAGTTAGTGAGAACTTTTAGAGAGAGGAGTCTTGTCACTGATAGGGAGGGGGTGTCGAGAGAAGAGCGAAGTTGCCATGTTTTTACATGTTGTAGGGCACAACCAAAGATTTATGGTTGTCCACCAGGTCCTTTAGGAGGTCCATCCAAACCGTCCCACAAGCACTTCCATCAGGTGTTGTATCTTTGTGGGTGAGCTTAGGAATGAAATGATAAAGCCATTAGCACTACCACTCACCCAAAGATTCTTGGAAGCCATACATGGAATCCATATTTTAAGGTAATTGTATACCCTGGGTTCATTAGTTACATTAGACCTGTTGCAATGACTGACCCATGCTTTTTAGGATGTCATTGGCTTTATAGATGGCACTCATTTCCTAGCAAGGGTTCCTAGGCGCGTGCAACAAGCTTTTAGGGGTAGGAAAAAGGATCCCACCCAAAATGTGATGGTAGCTATGAATTGTGATCTGAAATTCACTTATGTCCTGGCTGGCTGGGAGGGCTTTGCCCATGATGCAACTGTTTTGGCAAATGCTGTAGCCAGAGAAGATGGCTTGGGTTTTGCCAGAAGGTAATTGCACACCAACACTAATTACATATTCCATGGCCTATTAACACACACTATCACAGTAGATGTCTTGTGTAGGTAAAATGTTCTTGGTAGATGCTGGGTATGCATGCAAAAATGGTTTCCTACCTCCCTACAGGGGGGTTAGGTACCATTTGTCTGAGTATGGCCCAAGGAACAGGCCCACCAATGCAAGGGAGCTCTACAACCTTAGGCACTCATCACTTAGAGTGACTGTGGAGAGGGCTATAGGTGCACTGAAGGGCAGGTTTAGGATATTGGACAACAAACCCTTCCACAAGTATAGGACACAAGTGAAGCTTGTAGTTGCCTGTGCCATTTTGCATAACTGGATCCTAGGTTTTGGCATTGATGAAGTAGTGCCTGATGAGGAAGGTTTCACTACTTCTGCTGATCCAACCAACTCCGCCTCAAATTTATCCGGACCAAGACTCTGCTGACATGGTCAAATAAGGGATGCCATTTGCAATGCTATGTGGGAAGGAGGGAACAAACACTAGTTGATGTAATATGTTCTTGAATTTAGTTTCATGCCCTACTATGGAACTCATGTGTGTGTCATGGTGATGTAATAATTTGGTGGACAAAGTGAGACCAATTTTATGCTTCATTCATTCTCATTCTTGAAACATTCATTCTTTCATGATCTCGTCACCGTGCGGGTTAGTTCATACAATCTGTTAATATTGTTGTCACCGTTTTCTTGACTAATTCTATTGTTGATTTCATTACATGCCAGTCCTAGGATGGATTCAGGTGCATTTGAGGGTGGGTTTGTTGTTTGGTACTTGAGTGATGGAGCAGCTCATCAATGGTGGTTCTACCCCTATTGTAGTAGGTGCTAGTCTTTCTTTGCTCACATGTACCGGTGTCAGGTCTTTAGTGTTTGCTCAGTCTGAAGAAACCCTGTTGATGTTGCTGCTCTTGTAGCTAGGAATGGGGTCAGTGGGCAATGAGGTGGACCAACACCACCTCCGGCTTTGTGCTAAGGAGGATGGCTGCCCTTGTTAGTGATGGTAGCAGGCTGAAAAGGTTTTCAAGGACAAAGATGTGAATTCGTGGCCAAAGCCCTCAAGCAGCCTTCTGGGGAGGTTGTTAGCCCAACTCAAGTGTACAACCACTTGAGGAAGTGGAGGCAAAATGGGCTAGGGTGAGCAAGTTGAAGGACCTTAGTGCTTTGCTCTTTGGGATGACCAGGCTCATGCTATCATGCTTGAGCAAGAGCACTACCTTGGCCACTGCAAGGTAGCAGTTTGATCTCGTCTTTGCCTTGACTACCTACATTTGTCTTTCTTAAACTACATTTGCCCAACTCTGTAGGACCATCCTAAAGATGCAGAGTTTCTTAACTGCCCTATTAGGTTCTACACTGAGATGGAGGCTATCTTTGCTAATGCCATGGCCACAGGCAAGTTTGCACTTGGGTCTAGTGAAGCCTTAGGGCAGAACCAGGCTGACAGTGTTGGTACCAAGGCTGATGGTCCTCCTTTGACCCACACCACAGTTCCCAGTGAACAAGGAGGGGATAGCAAGGCCACTGAACTGCTTCCTACCTCCTCAGCTGCTGGCCCAAAGAGGAAGAGAGGGAACTTCTCTGAGGAGGAGATGCTCATGTTGACTAACATGTCAGATGCTGTGAACAATGTGGCCAATGCTCTTAGGGAGACTGGACCTGCCCATGTTGATGCCAATCTGTACCTTGCTGTGATGGAGATGCCTGGCTTCAGCAAAGAGGCACTTATTGTTGCCTACACCTTCCTCCTGGACAACAAGGCCAAAGGCAGAGGCTTTGTGAACATGAGTGATGCCCACAGGGCCCTTTGGCTTAGGACTTTCCTGGCCAAAAACTACTATGTGTAGTTTCATTACACATGAAGGGCTAGAAGGCAGGAGGGGTTGACTCAGAGATGTATAGTTCCTCCACCCCCTCACCCACTCTCTCTTCTTTTGACAACAGGGACCTTTTGTGCACCGCTTGTTCTTTTGACACCGACCTTGATGGTGTAGTTTGCCTAGGAGGGTGGCTAACAATAGGCAAGGATTTGGGAACATTTGAGCCCTTGGCTGTTGGGCTCAACTTGGTATTGTAAGAAACTTATTTGTAGCCTCTGTTGGCTACTTTTTATTTGATAACTAGTTACCTATTTTTGTTGTTTATGCCTCTGGTGGTAACTGTGGGATTTAAAGGCCTATGATGCATAAAACAAACTTGAGGTGGCTACCTTATTCTTGTTTTGATGGTTTTGTTGTTGTGCTTTCTTCTTTATTTGCCTATCCTTCCATTCTACACTTATGCTCAGTTGTACTCCACAACAACAACATCCTCTTGTGATGGCTGATGGCAGTGAGTGCAACTGTTGTTTATTTGCCTCTTTATTTGGTTCTTACAATTCTTGGTAGCCACCAATGACTAAACAAGGAAAATAACAGATGAGGCTAATTTTTTTATCAAGTTGCCGATGATGTTCACCATCATTCAAACTGAATGGTCGACTGAGGCATGTCATTCAGACCACTTACATGTTCTACATTTGGTTGGTTTCAGAGAATGCCTCCCTGCTATGTGGTCTTTGAAGGGAAGAAACCTGGGATTTATTTTACATGATATGAGTGTGCTAAGCAAGTGCTTAGGGAAGAAGGAGCTATCTATTAGAAATACAACAACTATGATGATGCTCTTAGAGATTTTAAAGCAAGGGTATCTCAAGAACCCTTGCTGTTACCAATTCATGCCCCTCATGGGGATGCATCAGCATCCCATGAACTGATGACAGGTCAAGGTTCTAAAATCTATCCTCATTCACCTGGGCTGCAAGGCTGTTGCAAAAATGTTGTCATCTTGATCTTGTTTATGGTTGTAGTTGGTCTGTCACTCAAGCTATTCATGTGCCACAGCTGTTGTTTTAATTAGGCCGATGATGACACAATAGGATGAATGCATTAGCTGGCTACATGCTTTCTGTTAACTTGTTGTCCTTCTCGGCTTGCCAAACTGTTAAATGTTGTATTTTGGCCAATGATGACACAATGGATCGATGCATTAGCTGGCTACATATCATTTTGCTGCCTCTTATCTGTTTCTGTGAACTTTTTCGTTTGTTGGCTTCAAAACTTGACTGACCCATGCTTCTGTTCTTCTTTACTGACTTTTATCCCATGTAGCGAGTAATGCCATGAATTATTAAATTAGCATGTCTGAGGCCAACTATTTCATGCTGAAACTTTGATTTGTTGTTGTAACAGTTATGAAAGAGTAACCTCATTCTCCTTTCATTCATGTCCATTTCTATTTGTTGTTATGGGCCTGGCCGACCACAGCCAAATGACAAACACTATCTCGGTGTGGTAGTTGGTGGCGGTTAGCCTTTTCATTTTTGCCTCTTCGATGACAAACACACCTCGCTTTGAACCGGGCTCATCTGGGTACACAAAGCAAACAAACAAGAGCTGTTGCACCACTTGGGGCAGGCCTACCTAGGCCTGGGCTAGTTGGGCTGGCCAGGCCGGCCAGGTACAGGGTCGCAAACATGCCCTTAGTGACCAGACGCTGATGGGGTGCGTCCCGTCCTGCTAACGTGGTAGCGCTTAGAGGAGACGTCGAGTGACCGGACGTTGGGTGAGTCCGGTCGAGCCTGGTCATGGATTTTTGCGAATAGATGCTTACTGGAAACGACCGAACGCTGGGGTTCTACGTCCAGTCACTTCAAAGTAGCACGTCCGGTCACAACTTAAATGTACTAACAACCGTTGAGATCAGGCGATCAACGTTTGAAGCAAGGGACACATGGCACACATCGCGCGACCGGACGCTGGGGTCCAGCCTCGGGCGATCAACGTTTGAAGCAAGGGACACATGGCACACATCGCGCGACCGGACGCTGGGGTTCAGCGTTCGGTCGATCTGACCTGTGCGTCCGGTCGTTCCATTTTTTAGTGGACTAAGGAGTCAACGGCTCTATTTCGTGGGGACTTCTATTTAAGCTCCATGGCCGGCTCAAGCTCACTCTCTTGGTTATTTGTATTGACATAACAACCTTGTGAGCTTAGCCAAAGCCCTCCCACTCATCTCCATCATTGATCCATCATCATTGTGAGATTGGGAGAGAATTCAAGTGTATTACTTGAGTGATTGCATCTAGAGGCACATGGTATTCGTGTTTCACTGCGGGATTTACTTGTTTCTCTTGGTGGTTGCTGCCACCTAGATGGCTTGGAGCAGCGAGGATCGTTGAGCGGAGGTTGGTGATTTTCTCCGGCTCCGATCGTGGTAATTGTGAGGGGTCTTGTACATTTCCCAGCGAAGCGCTGAAAGATAACTCTAGTGGATTGCTCGTGTCATTGAGTTACCTCACTTGTGGGTAGGTTCTTGCGGTGTCCTATTGTGTGGACGAGCTTTGTGCAACACCTCTTAGCCGTCGAACCACTAAGTGTTGGTCGACACAACGAGGACTAGCGTGCCGGCAAGCACGTGAACCTCGGGAGAAAAATTAGTTGTCTCTTGTCTTTTGGTATTCTCCCGGTGATTGATTTAGTGTTCATCTTGTGATTGGTTCACTCCTCTACACTGCGGTGTAATCACCCTACTCACTTATTTATATTTTTGTAAAGTAGTTGTAGTAAGCTCTTTAGTGTAATTAGAATTGAGAGCTTCCTTTGTTGTTTTAAGTTCATCTAGTGGAGCTCTTTAGTGTAGCAAGTGTGATAGCTCTCAGTGAATAGTGACATAACAAATTGTGTGTCTAGAGATCATAACAACTAGAATTATTGGATAGGTGGCTTGCAACCCTTATAGAGTTAGAGTAAGTTTGTATTTCGTTATTTGTTGTACTAATTAAATTGCTCTATTTGATTTGTACATTTTTAAATAGGCTATTCACTCCTCTCTAGCCATATTAGAATCTTTCACACGTCACTCCTCTCGTCGCACCACCATGCATGGCGTGGCACAGGTTTTTCGCCACGCCATGGTAATAGACGCGGTCAAAAGTGTTAGTTTTGAAAAAATAATTAAAAAGTATTAGATTTAAAATTAGTTTTAAAAAATATTAAAAAAAAATCGCGACGGCCACGGTCATTTTCTGAGGTGAGATTGAATCCGGGATTTTGTGAACGATCGGTCCAGCAGCTAGCGGTAAACAAATGTTCACTTGTAGTAGTTGTGGATAGATCTAATGCGGTAAATAAAGGGGAAAGGGGGTAGACAGTACAGGCATGTGGTGCGAAAATGGATAATTTCAAATCAACGGACAAGATAATCTCAAATCAACGGACAAGACAGAAAATAAACATGATCATGTGGAAAACCAAAACCCATGTGCGGTCCAAACCAGGAGAATAAGGCCTTTGGTTGGGCTTTTGGCTTTGGCTTTTGGCCCCAAAAGCTAAAAGCCTAATCAAATGGGCTATTTTTAGATGGTGTTTTTTTTAGAAGCAGCTGTTTTTTCGTAGTTTATTTTTGAAAGCTGGTTTGACCCTGCTTTTGGTTTTTGGCTTTCTGCTTTTCGAAATTGGTGGAATAAAAAGTTCTTTCATAGTTGTTTCAAGAGAGATAAAGATAAAATGTATATTTTATACTTGTTTAACCAAATAAATTTTCAACTTTTCTACATTTCACGATACCTTATATGCACTTTCCACACCTCACAAATTTACCAAGCTTTTTTTTTCCACGTACCACAAAACTCAACCAACCAAACAGAGCCTAAGCCATGCCTAGGATACTTTTTGCCCGATTCCTCTTTCGGTTAAAAGAATTTAAAGAAAAATATTTTTCAAGAAATCAGATCACTATCAAATCGGCCATGGAGTCAGTGAAGGTTCATGAGCCATGCCTAGGATACTTTTTGCCCGATTCCTCTTTCGGTCATTCAACAGTTTCGAATAAAAGCATCAAATATATAGACCAGTTTGTTTATCTTATAATCATCCTTTTTTAGTTTGTTTTTTTAATCGAAATAATATTTTTCTTTCACAACAAATTAACTAAAATAATATTTCAACTTATTTTTCACCGAAGCGAACGGGCATGTAGATAGCTTTGGGCAGTGGCACATCCATCCCTCTGGCACTTTACATGGCACTAACACAACAAAATGACAAAATGTCTCGATCTTACTGAACATCTCGACAGTAAGTGTGTAAAACCGTGTACATGCACGTACAACGACCTAAAATAGTCAAATCTATTATTAGCTGGGACTAAAAATTAGATTAATTACTTAGATTAGTCACCTAGTTGGCTAACAATTAGTTGGAGGCTTACGTAAAATTAGTCCACCTATTAGCCTGCGTTTTAGATAGGCTAGTGCTAATTTCAGTTAATTTTTAGCTAGCTAATTTAGCCCTCAATATTCAAATAAGCCCTAAAATAAGTGCATACCACCTTTTCTAAAGACTCATACTTTGTTAAGTTTAAATAGTTTTTAAAAAATATTATTAACATTTGTATCTCTTAACATATTTATTATTAAAATTCATTTCACTACTATAATTTAATGATACTTATTATGCATCATAAATATTAGAAAATAATTAGTATATTTTCTTAGTTATTTGTTTTAAAAATAACTCCTCAAAGAACGAGACGTGCGGTCATTTTAGGATTTAGAGAGTATAGCATAAGACCAAACTATTTTAAGTTTGATAAAGAATGGACATAACTAAATATTAATACTATGATATTGAATAAATATTATTGAATTATCCATAGAATGTATTTTTATAATGTACCTATGTTTTTTCCACGATGGTAAAGCCGAGTTTCATTACTTGCGCAACGAAATTACAAAGTTCAAAAGTTCATATCACCAGCAAACTAAAGCTAAAACCCGCCACCTTGTCCCTGATCACTAAGGGATCAA